AATAAATTAATTTCCTAAGGTAATTAATAGTATTTTCGGATTCTATATAATAAAAACCTGATTTAATATCTTCCTAAATTAATTATTTTCATGAAATATATATTTATAAAATATTTTACCTAATCTATGAAATTAACATAAAAGATCCGAAAATATTAAGCAAATATTTTCGGCCACTCATAGCTTTTCTAAATAATTTTTAACTTATTTTATTAAAAATAAAAATCCTTTAAAATTCCTTATATCTACTCTTAAATCTAAAATTTATTTGATCTTATTCTATACTTGCACTCCAAGCTCAAAACTTACTAAACAAAATTTCATGACCAAATAAAATCTAATATTCTTTCATACATTTAATTATTTTCTAAAAAACTTAAAACCCTAATTTCTATTCTTTGAAATTACCCAAATTATACAACCCTAAATTGCTATAAACCCATCACCTAAACACCTATAAATACCCCTTCCAAACACCGAAGACTCACACCAAAAACCTCAAGAAATCTTCTTCTCTCTCTTTTTCTCTCTCACGGTTTTTCCTCTCCTCTTCTCCTCCCTCAAACTTTCGGCCACCACCATCACCGGCGGCCCTCACCGGCGACCACCAGCCACCACTGCCGGCAGCCACCACCTATCACGGCCGGCCACCTTGCTTCCTCCCTTGCCTTGGTTTCCATCTTCGTCCTCAATTTCTCCTTCTCCTAAACTTGTTTTACAATTTATAATTGAATTTCATAAATATTATTTCTTGAATAAATTATTTTATAAAAACAGAAAATTATTTTGTAAAAACAGAAAAATTTATTTTATTAAAGTATAATAATAAATCATAATTAATTCATGAACATATAGGATATGTTGGTTAAATTGTTGTGCTTATTTGATAGCCTTATATTAATTAAGGTTATAATAATGTGTAGGGTGTTCGTGATTAAGTGAAGTGAAGTAATTTTGTTAATCGCTTGTGTTACGATCAAGGTACGTTATGTGGTTTGATACCTTCGAAAGTGGCTTGTGAAATTATGAACTATTAAGTTTCGTATAAAATTATGAAATATTATGTTTCTTATGAAAGTATGATTTATTATGAAATCATGATTTATTATGACATTATGTTTTATTATATTTCTTATGAAAGCATGTTTTATAATAATCTAAATTCATGGTTTTTGATAATCTAAAGTGACTTTGAATTGTGGATAAAATTATTAAAAGGATTGGATTAAGAATGATTTACAGGTTTCTTAAAAGGTGCTTTTAAGCAAATCAATCTATATGGTTATGAATCCCACTTAGGGAATGGATTAGAGAAGACTATGGACTTTTCATGACCTAGTCTTTCCCCAAGAATAGCCTTGAAATAGTAGGAGACTAGCTTGGGGGGTGTGCACACTTAGTGAGGAAATTGATTTTGAAATGTAATTGATTGAGTTTTAAACTTGTCTTGAAAGAATTGAATTGTAAAAGTTCTTGCATGAGTATGATATTGGAAAGAATGTGTTGGAATTATTGGAATTAAATGTACGTGTTTTAATTAATGTTTTACTTATCTCACACATGATCTACTTAGCACAATTTGCTAATATGTGCTTTGGTTTTGGCTTTGCCCTGTTTACCTTAATGGTAAGCGGGTGAACTTTTCAGGTGGAAGTGGATTGATGCATATGGGAGACCACGGGAATTTCACCTAGCTTAGGAAAAGTTTGAATTGTTTTTGTGTCATGATTTATGAACAGTTTTATTTGAAGTATTATTAATAATGAATAAAGAATTTCCGCTGCAAAAGTATTTTGAAATATTAGCCTTGTGTTATTACGCGGCGATAATACGCCCAAGTCTATCTCTACGTTATTTATACGTATTTTCTACATATTCCGTAGAGGGAGATTTGGGGGTGTTACAATTAGTTAATGAGATAATATTAGTTAATGTGATTGTGATAATGTTATGATATTATTGTCGTTGTTGTTTTGTATTATTATTGGTATTGTTATTATTAGTATGTTGCGCGAAATATGTCGTTATTATTGTGATTAGTTATATTGGAGAATTTTGTGTGTTTTCTTTTATTTTTATAGGATTCGGAGTTTGAAGACGGCGGTGACGGTGTGAATTATAGTGCGAATTTTGTCACGGACACGTTTTTTCCAACGTTTGATGATGTTGTTAAATGGGCGGATGCTGTTTCCATAAATCTTGGGTTTATTTTGGTTAAATCGTCTTACAACAAAACTAGAGATGGTAGGCCATGTCGGTATTTTAGATGTGATCGAGGACGAAAGAGCAAGCCTAGAGATTTGGAGAACGCAATTCGAAAGGACACAAAAACCAAAGCTAATGGTTGTCCTTTCTACATCAAGATATAATATGAGTTCATCACAGACAGTTGGAAGATCCGGGCAAAAAATGATGCAATTGGGACACATAACCTTCCAATGATTGTGTATCAGGAGAGTCATCGTAAAATTAGTGGCTTAAGCCCGGATGCAAAGAAGGTTGTGCGTGACATGACAAAGTCCAAGGTTGCACCGCGTAACATCATGGCAACTATTGTAGAGCAATTTCCTGATGATCATCCAAACATCAAACACATTTACAATTGCCGGAATGACTTGAGAACGGAGATGTCTGAAGGCAGAGGAGTTGTTCAGCAATTTCTTGAATTGGCGAGACAAAGTCAGTATATTTACTGGGTCATGGCTGATGACCTCGACGTTCTACAACATGCATTTATGGTGCACCCAATAACGGTAAACATACTACGCACATACCCACACGTGATCGGTATGGATTCGACATACAAGACTAACCGATATGGGATGCCGTTCTTTGAGATAGTAGGTGTGACACCGAAAAATCGGAATTTCCTCGTCGGTTATGTGTTCATGCGCAACGAGTGCACGGCAAGCTATCGGTGGGTCTTGCAGAGATTAAGGGAGTTGATTGGGTATGATAGAGAATCGTCGGTATTTTTGACAGACCGTGAGCTTGGCCTATGTGCGGCATTGAGAGAAGTGTTTCCAGGGACATCGCATTTTCTTTGTCGATGGCCATTAATAAAGATGTGGAGGCTAGGGTGACGGATATGTTCAAAAACAAGAGGATCGGTGCGAGTTTTAAAAATGGCAAATGGAAACGTATCATGGATGCTGCAACCGAGGCGAATTATAATGTTGCTGTAGATACAATGAAAGCTTGGTGGACAAGTTATCCGGCACTGATTAGTTACGTTGAGAGAACATGGCTTTATCATAAAACCAAATTTGTGACATTTTGGACGAACCAAGTTCTTCACTTTGGTAACACGAGTACTTGCAAAGTTGAGAGCCAGCATTCGGCCGTGAAGGCGTGGCTTGAATCATCGATAGGTTCGTTGTTATAATGTTTTAGTTGTTGCATTTACTTCGTCTTTGTTATTTTAATTATAAATCATAACGGTTTTTTATAATTTGAATCAACGGCAGGTTCTTTGGATACCACATGGGCCCGAGTACATTGTCATATTGGTAATCAGATCATTGCAATTTGTAATGGTTTGGAGGCTTCAAAGTCGAAGATTGGTGAGAAGTATAGACAATTGCCACTATCACGTATAAACGGTAAGGTGTCACAGCATTGTTTGAAAGTTCTCGATGATGAGACGAGAAGGATGAGGGAGTTGAGTTACCAGGTATATGAGCGTTGTGGATGTGCAATGCGTGTGACCCACAGTTTGCCATGTGCTTGCCAGATACATGATTCCCTAGTTGCACAGTCAGGCTTGTATATCAGGCAAATTCATCCATTCTGGAAGACCTTGGTTATTGGTGATGGTGTTAATGTACCTGTGTTCGTTAACGACTCGAGCGAGGAAGCTGCACATTTTCGTTCCCTGGTTGATGAGGTCATTGGTAGTGATCCTGTTGTACTTCGAAATGTATCTTGCATCATTGAGGAGGAGCTGCATCCCGATCATTCAAACCTTGAAGAACCACATGTAAACCACAACGTTCGAGGTGGATGAAGAAACAATGATACAAGACGTGATCCTTGTTATTTCGAACATGTCAACCGTCGAAACACTCAACGTGGTACACAACAAACAGGAGCGACCTCAGGTAAGTCAATATATTTTCACTTATGAAGTAAACGCCTATTGTAATTTACACGTATTTCATCTTGTAGCGTACTAATAACTGAACATTAATTTTGTACAGAAGATCCACGTGACATCCGCGAATGCAAGTATTTGCACTTGCTTCAAGGACCAATGTTGCCTTACATCACGACATGGAAGGATGTCATTGGTGATGGTAACTGTGGCTTTCATTGTGTGGCTGACTTCTTCTTCGGTGATCAAGCGCAATGGTTTGACGCTCGGGAAACGATAGCAAACGCGGTCGCCGCTAATCCAACGTTGTACGAAAGGATTTACGGGATTGGAAGGGTTTAGATGAATGTAGAACGTATTCGATGGGATGGTGGGGCTGTTGATTCACGACATTAGATGGTTGCAATTCAGGATTTATTTCCTATTGCTACTTGGTTCAATGCACGGGTGATTATTCTCGATGTAGGCACCGTACCGACCTGCTACCACCCATGCCTCACGGTGTTACCGTTGCGGGCACGAAACATGGTCAGGGCACCCGCTCGAGAGTTCGTGATCGCTACAGTTGGTGGGTCACATTTTGTCCATCTTGATCTTGCACAAGATTCACCTCTTCCCCCGATTGCAGGTTGGTGGACTGAGCACCACGAGCCCAGTGTTGATGGATGGGATCAGCAGTATGAAGTTAGAAGGAACATGTGGGATGCATTAATTAGGTAGTGAACTCATCTATGTACTTTCACTGAGGTTGAACAGTTGTAACTATGTAATATAAAATAATAAAAGAGATTAAACAAAGTTCCAACAAAACCAAATATGAAAGTGTCCAGTTGTTACATTACATGTCGAATACAAAGTAATATAAAAAAAATGAGGACAAGTAATATAAAACTGAAAGACAAGTAATTCACAACCCAATCATCGCCTTCCAATCATCTCGGAGCTGCTCAACCATTGCCCTTAGCTTGTTCCACGCGACATGTTGGGATACTCCTCTAGTGCTCTGTTGATAAACTCCATGGACCGACCCATCCACTGCAAATAAGAAAACAACATATTATAGAAATTACAATTTTTGGAAGTCGTATTAATAGTATAATAAAACACAACTACTTACATAATCCGTGTTAGTCCTCTTAGGTAGACTGCTACTCCCAGCTGATGACCCCCCAGGAGATAGACGAGGATGAGAAAATCTATACAGCCACTGCATGTAACCAGGAGTGACCGTAGGAGCTCAACCACCAAGTCTGGTGAGGGCACCTAAAACAAAACTGAAAGACGAACCAGGGACAAACCGAGTCCACATCGCAGATGTCATCTCGGTCGGAAAGTTTTCTCGATACATCTTCAAGTTCGTCGGTCTCTTGGCCTTCTCAGGCTTGATAATGGTCCTTGGAATTTCCAGGACGAATCCAAGTTGTCGAACCACTCGATCAGGCATGTATGGCTCAATGATGCTACGGTACTGGATGCAGCCAATAAATAGAGTGGGTGGCACGTGTCGTGCAAGATCAACTCCGTACGGGAGCCAGTTAACCTCAAGGTTAGTCAACTGATCCAGTCTAGCATGAAAAGTGAGGAGGCACTCCATGCTCTTGTTTAGGCACCCCGGTCCAACATCCCACGCAGCCGCACGAGGAATACTAAGCTCCCTCGTCAAGGTACCCTGCTGAGGCCGAAAACACGTAAAGTACTCGTAGATCCACGCTTGCAGAAGCGTGAGACAACGAACAATCGAATCAGCATCTTTTCGTGATGCCGTACCCAACTGCCGATACAGATAGACTAGAGTAGCTGAACCCCAAGAGTACTCATTAATCGGGAGATCATCAACAACAAACTCGTTGAGGAAGGAAAGATGAGTGCGGTTACCATTCTTATCCAAAAACAATGATCCGCTTAGTACTAACCACATGCATGTAGGCACTGTAATGGACACTGAAGGGCCTCTGCGCCTCCAAAGTCGTATCCAAAATCCTCTCGGTCATTATCCTGCCAAATGGTTTTAGTACCGCACTTCCCATTCAACTCTCCCGTAGTCATATCCATGGTAACCAAGCACGCGTCCCGTATGACGTCCGTGCTAGGAGTAGTGGAAACCATGGAACCATCAACCCGAAGCCCAAGAATATGGTACACATCGTGCAACATGATCGTGATCTCCCCAAATGGCATATGGAACGTGTTCGTATCTGGCTGCCATCTTTTAACAAAAGCAGAAATTAACGGCCAGTCAAAACGCCTAAACATGATCTCGGGTAAGTGAGATAGACCACTGCCATCAATCAATTCCAGGTGCTCCTGTGCAAGACGATCTCGCCAGTTAACCAATTCAGAACACAACCGTGTCCTGCTCAAACAGCGCAAAACATTACGCTCCTGCCCACCCCATATATATGATGCCACGTGACCACCAAAACTAGGGATAACGGTACCATCCTCAGGACCACCCGACATCGGCTGCTGGACTAACCATGTCTCTGCTGAGCTGGTAGAAGGTTGACTCGCTTGACTACTACTAACAAATCTCCCATGTTGACCCCTATATACCGTATGATAATCTTGAGGGTCATACTCTTCATCTCGATCAGCATGTCTTGCCTGCTCTTCGTCCTCATCGTCAGATGTAGGCACTCCACCCGACGAGTACATGGGGAGGCTCCCTTGTGACTATGCTCTCCCGACAAAGTACCATGAGACCCATATTGCTGCTCATGATGAAACGGTGACCCCGTAGCTACCCAACGACCTGACTCTCTCCTAATAGACGCATTCAAACGTCTTGATATTACATGGCGAGCACCTGAACCCTCCATCTACATTAAATAAGTACAAAATCAAATATCAGTAGTAATTACAAATATAACTATGATATTAAAGTTGAACAACTAATATTCAAACTCAAAAAAATAATTTCAAACAAAAAAAAATAATAATTACAACTAACAATAATAATAATTATTATTATTATAAACCACAAATTTCGCAACATACTACTAACAATATTACAAAACAACAACAACAATAAATATAACAACAACAACAATAATAATAATTATAATAATACTAATAACAATAACAATAATAATAATAATAATAATAATAACGTTGAGAAAACGGAGTTTTCTGGCCCACGAAGGACCCACGTAGCCGTCTGGCCGATGTCTTTCCTCCAGATAGTTCTCGTCCTGTTTATGGTGTTAAGTTGCTTGGTGGTCTTATCAGTGCGGATGCCTCTTTCTGTGGTGAGCTTGTTTCGCAGAGAGTGTCGAAGACCATTGTGCTCATGGATGTTGTTGCTAAGCTTGAGGATCCCCAATGTGAGTTGTTACTACTTCGTGCGTGTACTGGGGTTTCAAAACTCTAATTTTCTATGCGCACTTGTCCTCCTCGTCTTTTTAAATTGGCCCAGATTTCTTTTGATGTGGCCCTTCGTGGTTCTTTGGAGCGCATTGTAACTACTTCAGGGCCAGGTTTTGGTGATTGGCAATGGCGACTTGCCACCTTACCTTTTTCTTATGGTGGATTGGGTGTCTATTCAGCGGGTGATGTTCGACACTATGCTTTCCTTGTGTCGCGTTTGTAGTCTTCTAGTCTTCAGGCTTCGCTTCTTCGCAATTCTGGTATTGTTGGTCCAGGTCCGGTCTTCGATGGCGCTCTTAGTCATTTTAATAGGACTGTGGAGACTGACCTTTTTCATAATCCTAGTGAGATCGTTGCCCCCAAAATCATGAAGAAATTGGCAGATATATATTTCACGAAGGTCACTGCATCTGTAGAATCCACTTTCTTCTTATCTTCGCGTCAGGTTGCCTTATGGAAGTCCTAGCAGGGGGATCACACTTCTTCCTGGTTGCGAGCGGTCCCTATATCAGGTTTGGGTTAGACTATGAATGGTAAGACTTACCGTTGTGTTCTTTGCTACCGGTTGGGTGTTCCCTTGTTCTCCGTTTTGACACCTTGTTCTGCTTGCTCAATGGTTTTTGATGGGGATATTTTCGGGGATCTTGCAGTGTCTTGTGCTGGGATGGTGGGTATTAACATCGGCACAACGTTGTTATTGATACCCTTGTTGATATTTGTTTCCGCTCTGGGATTTCTGCAAAGAAGGAGGTCAACGTTGGGTTGACTAGAGGGAACGACGGGGCTCTTCGACCAGCAGATGTGTTGCTTTACTCGTGGGATAAAGGCCTAGATGTATGTGTTGACTTGAGGGGGCCTTCTCCATTGACTTCGTTCCTGGTCTTGTTGTGTCAGCTGCGGCTCAGCGGAAGCGAGACAAGTATGGGGCGCGTTGCAGGGCTATTGGCTATGGCTTTCTTCCTTTCTCCTTTTCTTCATTGGGGGAATCAGAGAAGGATGTTGTTGTGTTGCTGAAGCGGGTTCAAGCATTCGCTTGGACTCAGGATATTGGTGCTCGTGCGACTGCTCACATCTTCAATAGGATTGGGTTTGCTATAGCTAGAGGGGTGGGGACCCAGATTGTATCTCGGCTCCCCACTAATTTCTTGTAAATAGTTTGCTTTTGTAGATTTTTAATAACAATAACAATAACAATAACAATAATAATAATATTCCCAACATACTACTACCAATATTACAAAACAACAACAACAACAATAATAATAATAAAAACAACAACAATAATAATGATAATAATACCAATACCAATAACAATAACAACAACAACAACAACAATAATAATAATAATAATATTCCAAACAATAATAATAACAACAACAATGATAATAATAATAATAATAATAATAATATTGCTAATGATAATAACAATCCTAATACTAATAACATTACTAATAATAATAATATTAATCGGTTATTTAAAAAAAATAATCACGAAAAAAAATAATATTAAGCACGAAAAAAAAAATTAATCACGAAAAAAAAATCGAAAATTGGGACATCCGCCTGAAATTTCTGGATGTACCCATTCGCCTGAAATTTCAGGCGGATGTCCCAAATTTTGAATTTTTTTTTTTCCAATTTGAACACCAAATTTCCGAAAACTAACCTGTTCGCCGCCTCCAATGCCACCGCCACGACCACCGTACGTCACCCTGATTCGCCGCGGGTTCGCCATCGCCGGATTTCTTCTACCCTCCTTGGATTGGTGGTGGGTTGTGGGTGTTTTTCTTTTGAATTTTCTGTTTTTTTTTTTTTTTACAAAATTCTAATTTTTTAATTTTAGGAGAGATTTTTGGAGAGATAAAATTTTAGAGAGAGAAGAATGAGAGCGTGAAATGTGTTGTAAGTGTCGTGAGTGAGTGTCGCGAGTATTTATATACGAGGGGTAAATATGGAATTTCATGTAAAAAATGCGAGCGACGCCTAGTAAATTGGGAGCGACATTTAACAACACCCAAGAAGAAAGGAAAAAGAATAGAGAAAAGAGAAAAGATAAATTTACCTCTTTGACTTCTGTGTGGGAAAATTTTGAGGTTTTAGGGGATATTTATAAAGTAGAGAGTAGAGATTAGGGTTGGGTTTAATAAATAAATGGACTTTAGTCATGAAATATTTGATCCACAAGGGTTCAAATAAAAGAGTTGGGCTTACTTAAATGAAATGGGTTGGTCCACTAGGAGTATGTAAGGATTGTTTACATACTATTATTTAAACGAGCCCAAACAATTAATAAACGTTTAGCCCAAAATATGTTTTACTTTTTATAAAATTCAATAATTTAAATACTTTAGCCCTTTAAATATTTAAATTAAAATACTTGAGCACTTAAAAATATATTTTATAATTAATTAAATAATTTATAAAAATACCGAGTATTACAATTGTGTCGATTTAATAATATGATTGCATCACATGTCGAGATCATATTAATTTACAAATCATTTCTTGAAATCTGAGTAAGAATTGCAAAAACAAATGATTACTATGTAATCCATTTGAGCACGCACGACCATGCATTTTTCTCAATTCTCCTTCTTCAAGAGGCCATGACACAATCCTAATTAAATAGTTGGACTCAATCCAATCTTGTGTCAACCAAAGCTTCCACTCAACTTTTGAAGTAACCAGGAAACACCCTTTATAGTCCCCTTTTACGGCAAGACGTTATGATGTACCATAGTTAAATCAAGCATTGAATGAAATCAGTGTTCCACTCATGTCAAAGGAATCCACTAATATATCCGGAAGTTCTATACTAAAACTTCAAAGTAGGTCAATAGTTCGACCATGCATCATTCATGCATATCCATGTGATTGACCGAGCATCTTTATGCCCCTATAGCCCATGAAACTGCGTTATCCAATCAACATTACATTTTAGTTCAGTTCATTTATTAAAGTCATTTATATCCAATTTAATGATTTCGAACTAAGAACTTAAATAATTTATGAATTTAGCTCACCTGTGGGGTTTCATTCACCAAATCACGTATTTGATGGTCCTATCAATTCATAATTATTTTGGACATTTTATTTTATATCAAACCAAAATTAAATAAAAGAAATGAAAATTTTCTGATTAAACATAATTCTGCAAGTTAATATATTACATATGTAATAAGTTTTCTCAAAATAAATACAGCTTAAATTACATAACTTACTTCAATCTAGAAGCCCTAGCGTGACGCTTATGCTTGGGTTGTGAAAGGGATTTAGTGAGTGGATCAGCGATATTCTCATCTATATGAACTTTGCAGATCTTGACATCTTGCCTGTCAACAATCTCTCGAATGAGGTGATATTTCCTCTCAACATGTTTGGACTTGTAATGTGATCTTGGCTCCTTTGATTGGGAAATGGCACCATCGTTGTCACAAAACAACTCAATTCCTTCTTGAGCATTAGGTACAATGTCTAGCTCAATGAGGAACTTCTTGATCCAAACTGCCTCCTTAGCTGCTTATACCGCAGCTTAATACTCAGATTTTATCATAGAGTCTCCGACAGTGCTTTGCTTCGAACTCTTCCAGCTCACTGCTCCTTCATTCAGACAGAAAATGTATCCAGATTGGGATTTGAAGTCATCTTTGTCTATTTGGAAACTCGCATCCGTATATAGCCCTTGACAATCAATTCACTTTTGCCACCATAAACTAGAAACATTGCTTTAGTTCTTCTCAAGTACTTAAGGATGTTCTTAGCAGCAGTCCAGTGTGTATCTCCTGGGTTTTCTTGAAACCTGCTACACATGCTCAAACCATATGCAACATCCGACCTTGTACATATCATGGCATACATAATGTACCCTATCGTCGAGAAATAAGGTACATTAGCCATACGCGTCAAATCTTCTTGCTTTTGAGGGTACTGAGTTTTACTGAGTGTAATACCATGAGACATGTGAAGGAATCCTCTCTTAGAGTCTTGCATTTCGAACCTACCAAAAATCTTATCAATATAAGTCTCTTGAATTAGTCCAATCATCCTTCGAGACCCGTCTTGATGGATCTTAATTCCCAAAATGTACTCGGCATATCCCAAGTCTTTCATAGAGAAACAACTCTTCAACCATTCCTTAACTGACTCAAGCATTGGTATGTCGTTCCCCATGAGCATTATGTCATCTACATACAAGACTAAGAAAACTAGGGTGCTCCCACTAGACTTCTTGTATACACAAGGTTCTTCTTCGCTGTTGAGGAAACCAAACTGTTTGATTGCCTCATCAA